CAATACGTGCGAGACGCGATCGCGACTGCTGTCAATCGCCAGAAAGAATATGCTGATCAACGTGGTCGCAAAAATTTGGAGCGCTTCAATGTTAGTGATCGTGTATTACTTTCGACTTCGGGAATTACTCCTACATCCGTGACGAATTTGGGCGCCAACAAGTTGGCACCGAGATTTATTGGACCATTCGAGATCTTGAAGGCATTAAGTGACGCCTACACGTTGCAACTTCCTACGGCTCTACGTCTGCACCCTACCTTCTACTTTGGCCGGCTCCGACGATACCACCCAGCGAGTATCCCTAGCAACACGGTGGACCCTCCGCGTCCGCATACCGGCGATCTCCCCACCCGTCGCGCGGCCGCTGTACCCAAAGACGCAAGTCCTGGTTCTCCCGCTCCAGATCCCCCACTGCTGTTCCTCGCCAACTTGCTATGCTTAACCGAATGGAAGCTCGTCTAATCGGCTTAGGTGTTTGCTTCATTACTTGCGTCAACCTGTATTGTGATGGCCAAGAGTTTACTCGTGGAAACTCTATCAACTATTGGAATCGTGCTGTGGAAGTTGTGCTCGATCTTCCACGCCCTCTTCACAAGTGCGGTGTTATTTTCCTGAAGACCAAAACGACGGAAGCTGTGAAATTGTTTAGAATTCGACCAGATTTAGTCCGAGAAGCGCTGTGCTGGCTCATTGAGAACAACCCCCCTTACAAAAATGTAAGAGTCTCGGAGGAAAATCTAGCGTCATTACGAGCGTTCGACGCTGCAAACAATATCCCATATCGCTAACTGATGAAGAAGCTCAAGAGCTTCGTATTCAAGAAAACCAGCTAAACTGTGAACCTGAAAAGGCAGTTCCCCCCCCACACACACACACACACACCAAGCCAGCACCTTGCCAGCAACTACACAAGAGCAGCAAGAAACTCAAACCGCGCCAACCCCATCCACTGCTGGTTATGACTGCGGTCAATGTTGCGAATCTTCGTTGCCTGCTTGCGAAAAAACAAACCCCTTGTACACTACGTACAGCCGTATTGAGGACGAGACGGCAGAAAACTCTACTTCAGATGAAGAAGGCATCGATAATCAAGAATATGTTATGGAAAAACTTAATTGAAACGTTTGAGCTAGAGCGGAACGAACAAGACACGCAGAGCGAGTTAGAAAAGATAATTCAAGCTACTAATTTAGCTTCTGGAGGGTCAGAATATCCTGTGAAAGAACTACAATGTTGTACAAAACCAATAGATGAGTATAACACAATAACATTAATGCAGAACTGCTTTCCGACGCTGTTTACGAATGGCGAAGGAGGGTTGAACCCACTTGAAGGCAGTGAGAGTCGACTACACGAGTACCATCTAGACGAATATTGTGCTCACCTCATGAAATGGCACGATCGTCGCTTCATTATTCATAGCAATTTTAAATTTCTCTGCCTCAACCTAATTCAAAGACGACAGATAGACGGACTAGTTCGTAGGATTAGTGACTCGGGATCACAGCATGATGAACTGTTGCAACCAGACTCTTCTATTGGCGATGAAGATACTGCACTACAAATATTAGAGTCGTTAAAGCCGTACTTTAAGGTGGTAAGAGGTAGTGGGTTCTACTGGAGTAGTGTTCGAGACGATCTCGTGAGTATGATAGGAAGTCGTGTCCTTCCAACTCGCTGGCCGACATTTTTTTTTAACTTTGAGTGCTGCGGATACGATTTGGCCGGACTTTTTTTAGGGCCTGCAACCCGCAACTCACTCTCAAAGAATGCAGACATTTGCCACCAAAGGAAAGAAGAAGGCTACTTAATGAAAATCCAGATAGTGCTGCACGTTACTTTTATCATCGATTTCAATGCTTTTTTTTGAGAATGTGTTGTGTGGACGCGAGAAGCCTTTGGGTGAGATCGAGGATTTTTTTCGCGGATTGAATTTCAGCAGCGAGGATCACCCCACATCCATGCCTTGCTTTGGATAAAAAAAACGCGCCCGATGTGCTTGAGTTATCTAAAACTGAAGAAGGTAAAAGCGAGCTAGCCGAATTCGTTGATCGTAGTATGTCAGTTCTCTCCAAAACTGTTACAGATCTATACGCATGCAATTGCTCGAGTTGTATAGCTTTCAAAGCAGAAAGTTTAGATATTTTGACGGCACGTCCTCC